GTCCATATTCTTCTCCGACATCATCATTGTCTCGAGCCTGTCTATGGAAAGGTCTGTAATCCTCCCTTCAAGGACTTTTTTGATGCCAGTTAGGTCTCAATCGGTCGTGGACATTGGTCTTTCTCGGGGAAGGATTCCACTCTCCCTCTTCCACGACTTCGACGCTTGGGGATTCTTATTGGTAGTGGTCTCGAGGACCCTTGTGTCTGTATATTGCATCAAATTCTTCGAGGGCTATATCGAAGGCAATGTATTTCTTCCTAAAAGCATTCAAATAAACAGTGTCTCGTGTGGCGATTAAATGATCTTCCAAGAAGCCTTCGCGATCTGAGAACTCCTGATAGTCCTCCTCTTCCTGGACTTTTCGCTTACCTTGTCTTGCCTCGAGGAGGGCTAAGATTCGGCAGGCTTCCTTCTCATCAATCAGGTCTGCCAACTCTTGGTCAGTTGGGTCTAGTTGTCCAAGAAGACAGCGACACTTTGATTCTTCTAGGACATACTTTTTCATCCTTTGATTGAGATCACTGTCATCGCGCAGTTTCTTGAGTTCGGCCTCGATCTTGGCCAACTTTTGATCCTCCAAGCACTTCTTGGATGTTGCGGTGTTCCGAGGTGGACACAAATCTTCCTTTTTCGTCACAGGATTAATATTGTATGGTTTCTTCGGATTGGGGTGGGAGGAGCCAAAGACCAAACGTTTCTTCTATTGATCCTTCTCGGGCCCTTTTTCATGGCTTCTTCCCACCTTCTTCTTCTCCTGTCTTTTTTAGAACTCCGCCAAGGTGGCGTTATCAGCTGGACCGCGCCACCTACCCGAAGATCCCATACTGGACTCGTTTTCTTCAACCCTGGCCATTGTGCATATGGTTCTAGAAACCCTAAATTGCACTGGACAAGATTAAGAAAACCTGAGAAGGTTTTTGTGACACAAATCCTAGTTTTCGAGTTCCACTAGGCATGCCACTTGATGAAGCGTAGAATTGTTCACCAGTTAGATGTGGAACTCCGGTAGGGTTTAACTTGCGAAATAGAGCCTCGAGAGTCTTCCGAGGGTAGACACTGCGATGCGTAAGTCAGTAAAAAAGGTTATGAGCGTGTATGGATTATAGATTGGTGCTAGAGATAGCATACCTCAATGGTGGTGTAATCCGTTCCTTTTATAGGCATCGGTTGACCTAGCGAGAAGCCGAACCCTACTAGGTTTCAATAGGGCTGGCAATCTCTGTCACGACCCAGATTTTTGATACAGACCCGACATGAAATTTCCAGGTTCGGTTGGCTTTTTTGACCCGTATAATAAACGGGTCGGGTTAGTATCGACCTGTTTATTATACAGGTTGAGTTAGGGTCAACCCGGCGGGTTACCCGGGTGACCTGAATAAATATTATATATATATTTTATAGGGTTAGCCTAAAGCTGTTGCGTTTACTCGGAACACTGCAAAATTTGATATTAAGAAGATGAATGCCAAAGAACATGCTAGACTTTGTGCTGAATTGATTGCTTGTCCGAGGAGAATATGTTTGGCATTTGATTGTTAGACTTCTATTGTTACCGATAATTATTTGAGTTTAACTGCACACTTCATAGATGCTAATTGGAAATTGCTCCTCCTCCACATACGGGACAAGCATTAAGTGAAAAGATTTATAATTTGGTTTGTAGCTGGGGTATTGAGAAGAAGTTGTTTTCGATTACTTTGGATAATGCATCAGCCAATGATGCTTGTGTTGGGATTTTAAAGAGGCAGTTGATGTTAAATAATGGGTGTATAAAGGTGATTTGTTTCATGTAAGGTGTTCTGCACATATCCTTAATTTGGTTGTTCAAGATGGTTTGAAAGAGATTGATGTTTCTGTGGATAAAGTTAGGGAATGTGTCAAATATGTGAAGGGCTCAAGTGGAAGAAAGTTTAAGTTTGAGCAATATGTTTCACAAACCTCTTTGGATTCTAAGGGGTGTTTAAAGCAAGATGTCCCTACTAGGTGGAATTCAACCTATAGGATGCTTTGTAGTGCCCTTTACTATCGTAGAGCTTTTGAAAATCTTCATGGGTTGATACAAATTTTACACATTGTCCAACTTCAGAAGAATGGGAAAAGATTGAAAAAATCTGTGGGTTTCTTGAAAAGTTTTATTATGCTACGAACACTTTTTCTGGATCTCTCTATCCTACAGCCAATATGTACTTTCCTAAGGTGTTCCCCATTCAACAAAGGTTGCAAGAAGAGATTTTGAGTAGCAATTGATACATGGGAAACATAGCTGGGAATATGGTTGATAAATTTGATAAGTATTGGTCTAATTTTACTCTTTTGTTGTCAATGGCATGTGTGTTTGATCCTAGATACAAGTTCACATTCTTAGAATTCAGCTATAGAAAGCTTTATGGTCCCAATTCGAACCAATTGGCTAAGGTGAAGGCTACCCTTTTTGATCTTTTCGATGAGTATGTGTTGTCTTCACCAAGTAATTGTTGATCATCTTCTTGTTCTAATAGCAATGAGTATCGAAAAGTTGATGAAAGAAAGGGATGTTTTTGCAAGTGTGTTACCTTATGATCAAAATCTTTATTTCTTTCTATTTTTTTGTCATAATCTGAAATTTTTATTATTTCCGAATTTTTACTTGTTCTGCAATTTTTTCTGTTTTTTCTCATAATCTAAAATTATTATTATTTCTGAATTTTTACATGTTCTGCATTTTTTTTCTGTTTTTTTTTTTCATGATCTGAAATTCTGGATTTTTTCTTTTTTTTTTTGCATAATCTGAATTTTTTTTAATTCCTTTCATGCTATGAATTTAATCTGTTTTTTCTTCATGATCTGAATTTTGTCTTTTTACTGTGTTTTCTTTGGTGTTGAAGGAATTTGATGACTTTGAAGGTGTGAGTATGTTTCGGGTGGCAAAAAAAAGTCAATTCGAGATGTATTTAATTAGCCAAAAAATAGGAGAACCGAGAAAATCAATGTATTTGACTTTTGGAGATCTCAAGAATATAGGTATCCGGATCTTGCTAGGCTTGATAGGGGCATCCTTTGTGTTCCCGTATCAACCGTTGCATCCTAATCGGCTTTTAGCCTTGGTGATAGGGTCCTTGATCAATATCGAAGCTCAATGACACCGGATGTTGTTGAAACTTTGATATGTTGTAAAGATTGGTTGTTTGGTGAAAATGGTATAGTGTTTGCAATTTTTTCTGCATTGATTTCATTTTTTAAATTTGAAAATGTTCATTGTAGTTTTTCTTCTCTATGATCAGATTTAGATCCTTTGAATTTGGATGAGTTGACTAGCGACATTATGAATTTGGATATCAACAATGGTGGAGGTGGTGGACGGTTGATTGAGGGAGGAAGTTCGAATACGAATTAATAATGTGTTTGGTAAGTTTGTTTGTTGGGGAATTCATTGGTGGCTTGGTGCCATTCTGCCTTTTAGTTTTGCTGAATTTATTTTGTTGGATTGAATTCATGTTGATGATGACACTGTTGACCCTTCTTTTGCAGGGAAGACAAGGCAAGTATGCAAGGATTAGGACATGCAGCTTGTGCATTTAAGATTGAAGTTTGAAGTCTTGAAGACAAGTTCATTTGGGGATTTGAAAGTGCACTTTCTATAATTGTGCTTCACTATTTGTTTCTTATGGTTGATGGACTGTAAAAGATTGTTATTCGACTATTTGTGAGACTTATGTTTTCTTTGTTTATAGTTTGATTTTGTTATTTATACTTTGTAAGGGATGGTTCAAAGTTCAAACTTAAGCTTTATGGATGTGTTCTGATTTATTTTTTCGGGTTGAACAGGTCTTATTTTTCCGGGTTATACAAATCGATCTTGTGAAAATGGTAATTTTAATTTTTTTCGGGTTAAACAGGTCAACCCAGATTGACCTGATTTTTTGTAGGTCGGGTTAGGGTTGATAATTCCGACCTATATAATTAAACAGGTCGGATTCGGGTTGGTCAAAATTTTAGCGGGTTCGGGTTCGACCCGACTTGCCAACCCAAACGCAACACGGATTGTCAGGCTTAGGTTTCAACTTTCTCTAACCGCCTTAACCAACCGGCTGGGCTTGGTTAATGGACCGGTCCGATGGCTGGGCCGAGATATGGACTTGTCACGCATAATCCAGTGCAGCATGACCGAACCAAGCATATGGAAATTGATCGCCACTTCATCAAGCAAAATTTAGAAGAAAAGATAATTCAGGTTCCATTTGTGAAGTCAGAAGATCAATTGGCAGATGTGCTAACAACGGCAGTCAGTGGAAGAGCATTCCACAACTCTCTTGACAAGTTGGGCCTTAGAGACATCTATGCACCAACTTGAAGGGAATGTTGGTGTGAGTTTCTCCCTAAAATAAAAAAGGATAATATCAAAATAATTGAGTTGTTATCCAGTATGATTCACATGTTCAAAACGTGTAAAATTAGTTTGTGCAGTAGATTTAGCTTACCAAATATTGCTGCTGTAGATGTTGATAAATACTGGTCATCGTGTATAGTTTGGATCACTGATTTCATGAATAATAACAGAAAACTCTTTTTGTCAGGTATCAACATCACTTCCTGCTTACAAAATAACGGTAATGCAGTTATTATGACCATCTGTTAGATCGGAATATTGGTATGAACACGCAACTCCAGTCTCTGATGACTCTCCATCCTTCAAATGTAGCTGATAACTGAGAAATTGAGAGCGAAATGGAGCTTACTGAGAAAGAAGATAACACCAATTTCCTTGAAATTGATTGCATTGGAAATTGGATGAGAATGTAACCATTATACACTTTTTGTCAACTAACTGTAACAGGACCTATCAAAATTCATATGTACAATATAACAGGAAACTGTATACTTCTATAAAAAGAGTTGCGTTGCATCCAAAGACATCCAACGCTAACATCTTCTATTTCACATTCAACCAACTGTTGAAGGATTTGCTGGATGGACAAACTAGAAAGGAAAACAAGCTCAAAAGGCCAGCAGTTTACCGTCTACGCTCTTCTGTGTGTTCTTATGAAATTTGTTGTGTTCATTGCAATTGCAGTAGAGCAGGCATATATTCCAACTAGACAAAGGGATGTAGATATCAGAAGAAGGGTCTTCCACTGTCTTCCTGACACAAGAATCGCCACAGTAGTTGTTATAAGAGCAGCTGCTGAAAGCGCATTTTTCCATGCCTCAAAAGATTTAATAACTGCTCTGCATTCCTTGCAATGAATTACATGGCGAAAATATCGATTGGTCAAATTCGGAGCATGAATTGTTCCAATTCCTCCTTTGGCTGGTTGCGTAGCAGAAAGGCTAGCCACAAAGCCCGCTGGAGCTTGCTCAACCACTGCAGGTACTTTGGGCAGTGAAATGGTGCTGTGTCCAATGTAATAAGGCATCCCGTGTCCAACCTTGTCCATCCACTTTCTGTATTCAGCCACCCAGGTGTCCGATGACCTTAAGTTGATATACAGATCCTTTGTTGGGACATTGGCTTTCATTAAATATTCATTTTGGGAGGAAAGAAATCCCATATCTTGCTCAAAAACCTTTCCGGCATTCTGATGGAAGAACCACTGGGGAATAAATTTGAATGGCCCAGTTAGTTTTCTTGTGTTTGCAAACCTCACAATGAGCATTGATTTCCCTTGTCCTGATGGTCGGCATAAGAAGAGCCCACAGAAATAATTCTTCTCCCCAGTAGGTTCAATAATTTCTCTGCTGTTCGAAAGAACACAAGGAGCCTCAAAACGCAGGAAATTTGGAATGTAGTTTGGTGTGGACTGATCCCTTTCCCTTCCCCACCAGCCTGCAAATCCTCTATCTGTTCTTTCAGTCACCTTGAAAAATAATGCAGCCGCATCTTCCCTTTTTGCAGTGAAATCTGTCCTATCATGAGAAATAGGAACATGGGCCGGATCCATAAGGTTTTCAAGAAGAATAGAATGATCATACGGAAGTTCATGGATTGTTGAAATATCTCGAACTCCAGGTTTGGACAATGTCTCAAACCAGGGGATTTTTTCAGGCTTTGGTGGTGTCTTATGAGACATCCACACCCATATAACTCCTTGGGAGTCCTTTATATTGTATGTCTTGGCACAAGCTGATCTAGGAATGTTTGCATTGGCAGGAAGCTGTGAAGATCATGATTCAGAGATATAGAAGTTATTGAGGAAATAAAATAGCAATAAACCAAAAAAGAACAGATTTAGTAACATAACCGCAGGCAAAACCAACCTGAGGTATCTTCACGCATTTACCATCACCATCAAATTGCCAGCCATGATACAAACATTCTAGTTTCCCATCAAATATCTGCCCTTCAGATAGTTTTGCCAACCTGAATTAAAGATGATGCAGCATGTAAAGAACAGCAGCTTTAAGCTTGCACAAATTTTGGTGAGAAAAGAAAGTCATTCAATACAATTTACGATACTGCCATCTTCTTGATATAAGTAGGGCAGCGAGTGGAAAATGAACACATCAGAAAATCTTTGCTGCAAGAAGTTTTAAGCAAGTATGGCTCTTTCAAAATTTAAACCTTATCATGATCCTAGCACATAAGAATTTCATGGTTTTAAGCCTGAATATTTTGAAAAGATGACATCTAATTACATATTCTTGGAAAGTAAGAATTCAAGTAGAGATACTAAAACGTGAAAAAAGAAAAAGCAGATAACATTTAGTAGGTATACAGATATCTAAACAACTTCATATGAGCTGATGAAGTTCAAGTGACCTTCTATCACTGATTTTCTTATTGCTGCAACGGTGTACTTACAGTTAAGGAATGCTTAGCAATAAGGTTCTTCAGTACCCCATCAACCCAAACAAACACCAAAACAATGATTGCAGGTTCCACATATCCATAATTTAAAGATCAAGAACTTAACCATTGCTGACAGCCTGAAATGAATGCATGCCTAATCCATGAGGTATCTGCATGTTTGTCGCCATTTAATGAAGCAACAAAAGAAGAACAAAGGAGATGAAGTATAGCTACTTCAGTTTAGACTTGAGACTAATATGCATATAATGATGAATTATTGGAAAGTATCCTTCGGTTTTTCCCGTATGATCTATATTAGCACACTTTAAAAATTACTATCTCAGCTACTCCAATGATCATAGTTGTGGCTCCATTCTGTTTCATTAAAAAGTGCATAAGAGATAAATACAATAATTAAAATTACAAAAGGATTCTGCAGTATCATTTACAAAGTGCCAATTATCGAAAGTGTCTGTCATCATGAGCTGAAATGAATATGGTTGATTAGAAATTCATAGCCTAGATCAACAGAATTATGACAAATTTGCCAGTATGCAACGGAACACAACTAAGTTACAGTCCTATGTCTATGACATTGTAGCTAACTTTGCTCAATGTTTCTGATTAGACCGAACATTGCCACTATGACATACTGCATCTTGGATTCAGTAGAAATTCTGTTGGCTGGACTCTCAACGTGACCAAAAGTTTTCAAAAACAGAATCAAAGATGTTTACAACTACGAGATAATGAAACCTTTTCCTTCAAAAACGGTCATTCAGACACCTAAGTAGTAGAATCAAGATACTCTTCCATTGATGAAACTGCTAAAAGAAAATGTAATTTTCAGGGAAAAGACAAATAATTCTTATGCCAATGAAACAGTACTCTATTCACAAACTTCTAAATTCCAATTCAGAATTAAATTAAAGAAACCCGCAATGCCGATAATCTCACAAGCCAGAAAAGATTTTATCCATAGATTATTATATTGATAAAGAACTGAAAATTGAAGCTTCTTCATGAATCCGTACAACTATGGCTAAAGTGGATTTCAAGGACGAATTCATGATAGTACAAAAGTTACACAATAAGCAGGGATACAAGGCAATATCACATAAAATCAGACAACTAATTTCAAGAAGCTAAAGTTGAGTTAATATACCTATGAGGACACCGATCTTCAAAGCATCTAAGCTCTCCAGCTCCATCCTTGTAAAGCACAAGTTGCTTATCAAAAACAGTAAGACCCAATGGAGCATCATCTGGGACGTGCTCTGTGAGGTATAAAGGGTACCACTCTTCAGTCCAGTCATACTTAACTACTTCACCTTCTCCTTTTGTTTGTTCTTCAGTTGATCCACCATCATCAACAAGCACATTTCCATCAACTTTCTTTTCCTCTGCTAACCCACCTCCAACTTGATCAACAGCCACACGACAATTAACCCTTTTCCGCTCTTTCCTTATGAGGAAATTCTGATAAGGTTTTAGCAGCAGTGGCGATTGATGAATTGCAACTGTTCTTGCTCTCCTTTGTGCAGATGGATTTGTGGGTGAAAATTGGAGGGTTTTGGATATTAAAGTTTCAGCAAAAAAGGGTTGAGCAAAAGCCATGATTTGGTTGGAAATGTTACTGGATTGAAGAAAATCAGGCATTGATTTGATGGAACTCTGCTGCACTGTGAAGTATGAAGAACTATCAAGACTCAGGTTGCTTGCCTTGTTGGTGCAGGGCGCTTCTCTTAGCCACACAATTCATTTGCAATTTTCTTTGTTTCTTTTTGTTAGATTGTTTGACTTTTGACCAAAGCGTACGTAGTTAAAACTTTAAAATTATTATCAATTTGTTGCACATTATCTCTAACTGTAAACATATAAGCCCTGCTAGTTAAAATAAAGTTTTACGATTGTTAGATGGATGTTTTGATTCTATTTAGATTTTAGGATATGTGACACGTATTGCAACAGACCACATATGTATTGGTATCAATTACCAAATATTACCCTATCCAAGACCATTGAAACATTCCCCAAAAATTAGTATTGTAAACCAACCGTGTTCTCGATGTATCTTGTCCATTAACAATCTTTTAGTTGAGGAAGGTTGTTGGGATTTGGAAAATAATTTCTCTTCGTGATGCAATTTTTCATATTGGATCGGTTGATATTTAAGCTCTTTTTTTCATACTGATTCAGTTGACATCCAAGCTCTTTCTCTATTCTAAACGGAGGCTATGACATATTTATTAACAGTTTAACAGGTTTTTAATTTAGGAATTCAACCTGTTAAAGTTCACACTGATTTGTGAAGTGTTAATTAATGATCTACGAAATCATCCAATCCCTATCGAAACTCATGAAGTAGTTTCATTATTAATAAAAATAACCTAATCTTTGAATACTGTCAACTAATTAAAATAGATAGGTGAAACGTAAACGAATTACAAAATGTAAGCATATCATAGAATAAACTGTAATAGTTTAAAACTTTCTTCTTAATCTAATACAGATACCTTCTTTAAAAAAAACACATTTTAGTTAAATAGAATACCTTATGACCTTGCCATAGTAAGTGAAGATCAGAACAGTTATTTCGAAACATTTGATGCCTATGTAAAATTGTTGGACAATTCCCATAATCTACAAATGAAATTTACTTTCAAGTAAAACAATGAATTTGAGGTTATCTAATCATTCAAGATATAACGTAGTGGTGGAAACTGTCTTTACTTTGAAGTGAATTTAGGAGAACCAGTGAAAACACACATTCTGATGTCCCACTAGTACTTACCAAAATTTTTTACCAAACTCAAAAACCACGATTCAATTGCAGTTAGATGAATAAATGGCTGAGTTTTCAGATTTGACAGTTGAATTCAAATTAGGAACCTTCAATTACCTACTGGAGTTTGAGATTTGAACCGCAAACATGTTGAATAAGTTTTCAATATGCGTAATGCAAATGATACAAAAAGAGGGGCCAAAAAACGAAACGTGATTTGTGTTCAATGTGAGGGCTGAAACCTCCAACTACCCACGCCAAGCGAAATCTGGCTGGAACTTCTGCCTGAAATGGCTAATGTATAATTCCAAAGATCCAAAAGTACCTGCTGTCTACAACCAATCTTTGTCTGATCTGTTTTGTTTTTTCGACGTGCCCAATAGGTGTCGTATTGCTGATTTTGTAACTTAAAGGACATTTCAATAGAAACCAAAAAAGGAGATGGTTTGGTGAACAATGAACATGGTGGGTAAACAACAAGATCAAGTGAAGCCACACAACCAAAAACGAACATGTCAAAACTCAAAAGGGACAACGTTGTTGTAATCTCTTACCAAACACCTTGCAGAAAGCCGGAGGATTTACTGTCATCCGGAAATTAAAAGTTAAATGGAAAAAATTTGCCCTCTTTATCTTAATTTGTCAAGATTAAGAGTTCAAAATGACAAAAACCTTGCCATGGCATCATAAGACGAGTAAAATCATATCTCAATCATTCCTCCTTCCCCAACATTCTATCAAAATGTCTCATTACGATTATGTCCAACTGCTACAGCATGTAAGATTGACACAATGCCTGAGTAAAATCATAGTTTTGTGGGGAAATTTACTATTTATTCAGGAAAGTATGGAGCAAAATAAGGAATCATAGCATTTCTTTCACTAAAAATACAAATACAGATCCACACGATATTTTTTTCATTGCTAGAAATCCTCCTGCGTCCCAAAAAAGAATTATCACCCTAATTTTCAGCTTTGTACTGGGGAAAGAGGTTCTACATTTTATTCCTCTTTAGAAAAATAGTTTATTTCATCATTGAATTGCCGAAGTGCGTAGTAGCTCATGTCATAAGTCTTCTTTGTAGTACTACTATTTTACAGCTAGATACAAATCTGTGTTATACGGGATATGATGACAAAGGAAAACTGCATTAAATTCCCTATATATATCATCAATATTTTCCATATGAATCTAAGCGTATCCCGAATCAATCTCCATAAGTTTCACTAATCCAAGGCACTCATCATGCATCCCAAGTACACAGATTACATGAATTTCTCCATAAATTTCACTAATCCAAGGCACTCATCATGCATCCCAAGTACACAGATTACATGAATTTCTCCGACTAATAGTGATGTTACCAAAGCAAAAGTGAAATCAACCAGCCACAATCACATTGATTTTATGATGATACACGTAGTCCAATTACAGAAATTTACCATATATATGAAGAAAAAACGTCCGAAAAATGCCTTAGTTGCCTTATAAAAAAGGTCCGAAAAATGCCTTAGTTGCCTTATAACTAGGACGAAAACATTTCATTACTTGAACGTAACCATTTACTCGGGACAGACTTATGATGTAAAGAAACACAAACATTAAAAAGACCACTAATTGGAACGTATTTTTCATATTTATTATTCTGATTAATTTGCTAAATTAAGAATCAAGATTAATTAAAAAAAAAAAAAAAGAGAAGCAACAGAAATATTAATTGCCTCTACTAGCTCGATTGCATTCATTCTTCTGTACATTAAACAAGAGTCAAAAAAATATGAGGGAAATAATTTTTATTTTTATTTTCTTAAATAAACACTTGATAATCCACAAGCCCTTTGGCTAATATAAAGAGGGCGTAATTAATTAATTACAGGAAATTAATTTTCCAGATCTCATAGTAAAGGTGGAACAATTAACCAGGAAAATTTACCTCCAATCCATTCCCTCATTTCAGCTCCCCTCTTCATCCTGGACTTTACTACTGCACCCACTGTGATTCACCGCGTGCCCCTTCTTAAACGACACCGTGTTCAGGCTATTGTTATTACTATTGTTCTCAACATAAGTCGCCGACGACATCTCCATCTGACAAACCCTGACGGCGCCGAACAATTTCTCCGGCAACTCTTCCTCCGACTGCGACTCCACCAAGAATCCCATGTCAATTGTGACCGCCGTCACGTATCCCAACGCCAAATGCAAAATCGCGCTCGCAATTGCGGAGCTTCCGATGTCAACATCGATCTCCAAGTAATTATCTCCGACATAGTAGTTGCATTTCAGGGCTTTCCCCAGAAGGCAAGCCGCGTAGTTCCCCACCGCCGCTTTCACAATCCACGGCCCTTTCACGATCCGGTTGACGATCTTGAACCGGGCGTTCCGGAAATTGTCGTCTCCGTGAACGAATCGGTAGAGCAACGAACCGGGTTGGAGACCTTCGTCTTCCTTAGTAGCGAAGTAGAAGACGGCGCTGTGCTGTTCCCGTCCTGGAACCTGCAAATTCACGGCGAACAAAAAGGTCTTCATGTTCCTTCCCTGGAGATTCGCACGCTTGAGCGAATTCATCACCCGATTGTCGGGCCGAGCGAGGACGTGATCCAATTTGGAGTTAGATCGGAGCCAATCGACGCCGGCGGGCTGGAGAAGCCACGGCCCAGATGGGACTTTGGACTTTTTGGTGAAGTATTGAGGCCCACGGAGTGAGAACAGGTCACCTGGAGGTGAAGCCCAGCCATTGGTGCCAGTTTGGAGATCAACGTGCTTCAAGGATCCACCGGAGATGGCCTCTTGCTTCCAGTCCCCGACTTCACCTCCGTCGGCCATGGTGGTCGCCGACGAGGTCCGATGATTGTGATTCTTTTGCTTCTGCTTCTGCTTTGTTGGGCACATGGGATTTTTTTTTATTTTTTTTATCGATTTCCCACTTTCTAGACGAGAGCTCTGATTCACACAGTCACAGAGTTCAGTGGGAATCGTCAAAGAAAGAAGAAAAAGGGGATGATGAAATGGGTGTGACCGTGTGGGTTTGTTGACTCGCTGTATCTGTGTGATAAAAGCGTTGGAGATTCGGTCCCAATAAGTGTCCTTACAGTTGGAGGAAACTACGATGATGCCATTTGCCCTTTATTATTATTGACAAAACGACAGCTATTTATGATGCGAAAAATATCATTGCAGTGCAGGCTGGCATCTAGTTGGGCAGTTGAGGTAATTTTTTTGGCACACTTCGTTTAGTTATTTATTTTTCGTACCTACATGATCTGTGCGTTTAATGACTCTTTTTATTTTTCTCTTTATTTCCTCTCCAATTTTTTATCTTAGGAATATATTCTTTCCCTTATGATTGATGAGCTGATAGTCGTACAAGAAAAATAAGAATTTAAAAAATGCAAAAAAATATCATTGATACGCAACACCTATAATGGACAAAAGGGAGTATGAATGCTTTGTTCATATTCTTATATCATAATGTAGCACAATTCTTTGATGATTTAGGACGACTGATAGTACCAAAAAAATAAGAAAATCAGTGGTGGAACGATATACAAAAAATAATTCACTGACAGATAACGTAATTGAGTTTCTAATTTGTGAATTGACCAGTCATGTAATGAAAATGTGAAATTATTGATTTTTTTATTATGTATATGAAAATAGCATAGTTTTATTAAAAATAAAATAAAATCCTAAACAAGTAGTTCAATTTCTTGAAACAACTTTAAACTTAATTTGATTATAAAATGATTAAAATATTATTGTTACTAGAATGAAGCTAAATAATCATTTTGAGTTGCAAACAAACTAAAAAGGTGGTACAATTATAAACTTATGGGTGACTAATGGATTCACCTTTTATTTAACTAGCAAAAATTAAAATGTTACACCTTTATATTGTGGATTATTATTTTAAGATACGAATAGTATAATATAGACATATGTACAAGAAGAAAGGAAACAAAAGAAAAGAAAAGAGGATGAACCTATGTATAATTGAACTACATTTAAAAAGTTAAATTCAAAATGAGCAGTTTTAAGAAAGTAATCAACATTATTTGCAAGTCACTACGTTATACTCCTCGTGTCACTGAACAATAGTCTAATTTTTAAAATTAAAATTTTGAGTTTGACTTATGATGTTTATATAATCTAAAATTTATTAAAATTTGACCATCTAACCTATTTTCAAAATTTACGGAAGAGAAAACACCTTTTGTTCTGAAAAATATTTTTTTCAAAAACACAATTTTTACATCCAAATGTAATCTATAATACTGATAATTTAGCAAATAATCATTGAGCTTTTTCAAAAGTATTTTAAAATAAAAAAGCATTGACAATAACATATACAAATACTTCAATTTTAAACTATATTCAGTGTCTTGATTTAAATAAATTTACGTCTTTGTTTCACCTTTTGTTCCTAAGGAAAGAAAACCCTCTCTTTTACCTTTTAATGTTGTTACTTTATCCAAGTAAGAAATGGGAAAGAAGAAATGTGGGCTACTAGGCAACAAAGAAAATAAGAAAAAAACAATCATAAGTTTTTTTAAAAAAAATTGATCCAGAAATGATTTCACTTTTTTTCTAAGGTAATGCTAAACGTAGCCCAAATTATACTACTTGATGCCCAAATTATTATCATTTGGCCCTTATCTCTACAACTTTAAAAGTAACACTTCAAATCCTTTAAGAGTGTGTTCGGCTACATGTTTTTGGGATTCAATTGGCATTAGAATATTTTGGGATTCAATTGGCATTTAAAATATTCTAATTCAATGCCAATTTATCCGTTCGGCAAAATCATGGAATTGGTTACAAATTCAATTGGGATTCCAAATTCTCTATTCGTATAGTTTAGTAATTGGGTTGGTTTTGGCTTTTGCTATTTTTTACAAAAATTTAAAAAAAAGAAAAAATTAATTTATTTTGAAATTATTTCAACTTTTAACTTTTGTCATGTTAAATAGTATCATTTCTAGAATAATATATTTTGTTATCATATTCAAGGTGACAAAGAGGAAACTCTTTAAATTTTTATTTTTTAAATTTATCAATTATTTATATATTCATTATAATGATCAATTTAGGTAGTTCCAACACTGTTACATTAACATAAATATAAAAATTACAAAAATTGGTTATATATGTAATAATTAATTTAGTTCAAATGATTGTTTTGAAACCAAAGAAATTAAACTGATTATAAAATGAAAGGGCGGTATTCACCCAATTTTATATATAATGTAACAACCACCTAAACATTTTATATATTCTTATCAAACATAGAATTTGGTGACAATATTACTCCAACCAATGTTCTTACCACTAAAACTAAAACACTACACAACGTTAAAGTCTTATACAAACAATAAAACTTAAAACTAATAGTTTTATTGAACATAAATTAACAAGACCATTTCATCTAAGCCTGTTTTGATAATCAATAAACATAGCTTGAGCTAATGCATCCCTAAATCTAGTCCACTCATGTGTAGATTGCACAAGTGTAATGCGATCAGAGTCTTCAACATTCACACCACCTTGCATGTTTGGCTGATTCTGTTCTTCCTCATTCTGATCATCACCATCTGGATTAACTCGGTTAAGAATCTCATGATCAACTTCTTCCAGTAATGGATCATTAGGTTCTTCTACTCGAATAAGATTGTGAAGGATAACACAAGCATTGATAATCTTCACAGTTGTTTTGACATCATAAAAAGACGCTTCTCTCAAAATTTTCCATCGTTTTTTCAACACACCAAAAGCTCTCTCAATCACATTTCTAGCAGTTGCATGACGGAGGTTATATAACTCCTTAGGAGTTTGTGGATTATTACCTTGGGCTGACCATTCATTGAGATGATATCTAGTTCCTCTATAAGGCGCAAGAAAACCAGGACCATTAGTATAACCCGCATCCACCAAAAAATATTTGCCTACAAAATCAAATGGAAACATTCTTGTTAGTACTTTATACACCTTAAAAAACTAATGCACAAAGAAACAAAAAAAATATATATTGAGCAACAGAATTGGCTAATTACCACATACCTTTAGGAACTATAAAGGGGTCTTTTCTAGTCAAAGAATCTCGCAACACTCTACTATCAGCTGCAGATCCCTCCCATCCCGGTAAAGCATAAGTGAACCTTAGGTCACGAGAACATACCGCCAAGACATTTGTTGTGATGTTGCCTTTCCGATTTCTATACCTTCCTTGATCTCTCAATGGAACAACGAGTTCAACATGGGTCCCATCTATTGCTCCAAGACAGTTCTACCATAATAAAAGCATTAATTAATTATTAAAATTTTTAGACTATAATTTCCAAAATAATCAACAAATAGATATAATATTTACCTCAAACCAGTCCCATTTTTCATCCTCGAATCCTTCCATTTCTGTTGTAGGTTGCACCACATATTGCCTCCCCAGTTTTAGTACAAAGCATGTAGGACCATATTGAAGTATCGACTAACGGTATCCCCGATCTAATGAAATCAAAACCGACTTTGCGGTTTGTCGATTAAAAGAGAGGACATAAAGAAACATTGCAACTACTTCTTCAACCGTGACATGGTTTGAATCTTTCATCCCCAACTCCTTTAACTTGGTACATAAAACAGAAAAACAATGTTTATTGAGACGGAGTTGCTCCCTACAAACCCTATCATTTCCATAATATAGACGCCTTAGATAGATTTCTCGTGCTATGCTGTAATCAATACTTGGTTCTTTCACCCTATGTCTTTCATGCCATTGTGAAGCCTAGGAAGCAAATTCCAACATACGAAGGATAACATATGTCTTCCTTACTGTACTTGATGAGCTCTCATCATCACTTTCACCATCAGATAGGGACAAGGATGGATCCATGAACTGAATTCAAATAATATCAAAACTAATTAAAACTGAAAAAAATACTTCAAAGGATAACACATGATGAAGACAAATTATGACAAGCAAAGATACACTTAATATTTCTTGTACCGCGAAGTTGACAACACCCAAAAGTGCATTAAGACAATGAACTAAATCATGACCACTATTAGACAGCTTTCATTAGATCTTTGAATCAAAAGTCAGAAGAATTTAGAATACACATCACAAACATGAAATTTCCAGCATTTGCTCATTATATTCTCCAGACATAGATTTACCAATGAGGAATGCTTTTTAGAAAAAACCATCATTTGGGTAACTTTATGATGCGCACTCAACCAGACAGAGTCCACCAGTGTAGTAGATACACATCAAACACTAGAATAATCAACCTTGAAAATGTAGATATGCCTGATAACTTCTACTAATGAAGACAAATATTCAACAATCTAGCTTAAGAAGCTTAAAACTAATGCTCATTAGAGTTAAAAAAAAGTAACCAGAAGCAGAGATAGAAAAAAAAAAACCCTTAGATATCTATTTTGATAAGCAAGAAAAGTATCTAATGATTTACCACACTACTACACTTTCTAAGGAACCTTCATGCCTCAGAGATTCTAGCATAGTTCAGCTAGTTCACAGATGTACAAAATCAGCGGCTCTCCATAATAAAAAGGCATCTACAATCAGTGAACTAACAACATATCACTAATATGTACGAGCCATAATGTCAGTCCACGCCAACACCATAGCTGCTGCAGCAAGGTAAAATCATCCACACAAGGAAACAACACTTAAATAAAATATAATGATAATCTCACTGAAATCACCCGGCAGATAACTCAGGGAATGACGAGGCATAAACGAAAGCATAAAACCGGCTACAATCCCCCCCAAAACAAAAATGGAACAGTATCAACACTTGAACGTTTTCATCTATGCCACATCATTGCTTGAGCAGGTTTATCGATAATCTGTCGGTGAAATTTCAGTGAGGAAACTATACAACCACAGAGATCCATTTCACTTCATTAGGCAATCAAGGAAGCTTTCGCCATGAATAATTTTGAGGAAAATGCTTTTTGCACCTTTTTCTCTTTTAGAATTTGATGCACGTCTGTGATTGTTAAATATGATTAACACCACCAAAGGTTCAAATCATTTAAATTTGACTAAGGGCCGAGTACGAGATGCAAATTGCAAGATAAGAGAAGCAGCAGGCTGCAGAATCCTATCATTACTTAGAGAGGAAACTTAAGAAGTTAACAGAACTTACTAGCCCAGATGCAGCTTTAGCTAGTAACCACTTTGACAATTTCTTAAAAGAAGATTTCTTCACGTCTACTGTGACATATGGAGGTCTGCAAGGTAGCACGTGACCTGACCTATAAATAGCACAAAACAACAAAAAAACAAATTTATCACATTAGGATATGATAATCCTGTTTGGTTATTCAATATTCCTAGTACTGAAGACAAATAAAATATTCTCCTTCCACCTTCAATTCCAGCAAAATATACAGAACGCAAGAACTAAAGTCGAAAACTGAATCAAGAGAGCCGAAACATGACAGATCTAAAGAACCCATGAACAATTTTATTAACTAAGAATAAGAATCAAGGGATCCACATACAAAGATTCATATTCAAATGGGAAGCTAAAGAGGAGTTAAACAAAAATTAGGCAGAAAAGGTGGCTAGGAAAGTAAACCGAAACAAAAACAAAAATGATGAATCAACCACTGAAATAGGAAGAAAAGAAAACCATCGATTAGCTATTACTACTGGAGATTCAATCTTACATCCATTTACCAAAATCAGAAGAACATGATTGATTTTTAAAATAAGAAAAAGCAGAAAACGAACCATAAAAAAGATTACTCTTTTTTCGCTTCTTAATAGAACCAAGCTAATCCTTGTAGAAAAAGCAGAAGACCAAATGACTCCCTACATATTCATAACAAATTTGTTTGGCTTCTACTTGAAAATAGTTCTAAGGATCTAAGTCATACTTCATAAAGCTCTTTACAACTTATCATTCACATAAGCCACACAACAACACAATTCAATTTTGCATCTATCAAAGGTTAAATAGGTGAGAATCAGAACATGAATCGTAGATTAAAGTTAGGAAGTAAATATAAAGTAAAGATTCCATGTTGATAATCATTTAACAGAGCATTTAACAGGGCAGAGTATGAAACAGGGCACCAACTGAGAGAAAATAGAACCAAAAAACACCAAGAAAGCCAAGATTTTGTCAAGATATTATCTAATTCTACTCCAAACGAAAAAAACCTCAATAACCTGACAATGCTTTCTCCATTTTATCAAAACTGTCCCACTAACTTATAATGATCAATGCCTACTTCCAATTCTAAAACAGAACCAATTGCATTTCTTCAAACAGTTGATGATCACTTCTCTTCCACTAATAACCCAAGGTTTGATTACCAAAGCTAAAGATTGCAAGATCAAAGGAATAAATTTATGCCCAGCCCATCATTTTTTACTTCACAAAATCATTGATTGAACGCTACAAACAATCAAGTCTTGAATCCAAAAGCCCAGAAAAAGAATGAAATGTCACACCGACATTAGTCTTCAAAGAATGTCATGAAACAGTGATGAAGATAATGAAGAATTTGCTACGAAATTGACAACTTTCTGAAGTGAAGTTTTAGTCGAAATTTTACCGTAACGATCAAGGAACTAATGTTGATTCCTGGACAAGAACTCTACTTCGGTATTACAAGATGAATTCTTGGATTGAGAAGAATCGAGTAATGAATTTAGCAAGTTCTCCAATAGCCAAACGACCTACACAAGATAAAGATTGACAAAATGAAATGTGTTGTATACTGAAATTATAAGATTCGCTCTATGCCAGTTCAAACTCCTAGAGCCAGTCTTCAATGTGACCTCCCAAAGTTTCACACAACAAATCTCCCAAAGCAAACCCAGTTGGAGTTTGACTTAATAAACAAAACCCACAAAAAATTCAGTCAGATCCATGCTGAAATAAGAACGATTTGATTGTAAATCCAAGCATCAGAAGAAGATCTGGATGAATTGATGAGCAGCCAACCCTATCTACCCAAAAGGAAGAAAAAGATCAGAATAAAAAGATTACCAGGAAACCGTGTCGCCGCCTCCTTCGTCGTCGCCGTCGCCGTCGTCGTGGCAAATTTGTTACGATTACTGGAGTCGCCGGAGATTGTACAGATTAATGGAGCAGAAAGAGTGGAGGAGGAAGAGTGACGGGAACACGAGAGTGAGGGAAAAAAAGGCCCGATACATCAAAAAGCTAATAAAAGACCCGAACCCGATTTGTAATTAAAAAAACCCGGAAACGACCCGCGCACATACTCAACTCCATCAGAATTTGGAATCCCAAATAATAACTTCAAGCCCGGAATTAAAATTGTGGCATTGGAAGCCTTTTGGCATTGGACTAATGCCAATGCCATCTTATTTTTTGGTAGCCGAACACCGGATTTGGCATTGGGGGCCCAAATTCCAAATCCAAGCCCCCAATGCCATGCAAACGAACAGAGCCTTAATCTTTCAAATATTTCAAATCCTTCAGCCTTCAAATCTTCTAATTCCATACATCTCAGCCCTTCAAATCTTCTCCCTGCACCTGATCCCTTAATTGTACTCTTGTTTGCGAATTGCCACCAGAATTGCATAGGGCTTAGCTTGAACATTTGTCATTTGCTGCACAAGCTTCTTCAATGCATCTCTAAGTCCATAATTTGACTCAAAACTCTCGTCTCCTGGCCAATTTAATCCAAAACAATTTTCAGAAGTTTCCGAATAATTTCACTTGCTAACCAGTTTAGTCCAAATTCATTAATTTTAACCAAGTTCGTTAATTTATTAATAAAATGAATAGAAATTAATCACTAAGACTACTCTATAGTTTCAAAACAAAATACAAAAGTAACTCCCAAAATATGTAAAATTAACAAAACTGTCCATTTTTTATTTTTTTTCCCAATTTCATTCTTTTTCTCTTTTACATTTTCCTTAGAGCTATTGAAAAACTCTCTGTCTTAAAAGTAGTTGGCATTAATTTTTTATATTTGTACGTAAAAAGAATTACTTTTACAATTTAATATATTTTTAATAGTAGAACAATATATGATCTCCTACAGCTCATTTTTAATATATTTTTAAAAATATATTTTAAATTAGTCTAGTCAAACCACCAGACTAATTTAAAAATATATTAAATTGTAATATATTAAATATATTAAATATATTCCAATGCAAGAGCAATATTCGATTCCCCTTATATATTTTTAATAGTAGAACAATATTTTTAATATATTTTTTAAAATAATTTACTTTTACAATTTTTTCGTCTTTTTTTTTTAAATTCGATAGCCCTATTGAGAATCGAATCCTTAACCTTCTAGTAATAACCATCCCACATTCTAATCCGCTAACCAACCCACTTAATCCTCCCACCCCTACAATTTTTCGTCCTATACTTTACTCAAATTTATTTT